GTCTTTGGGGTCTGATAACTAGAGGGAAGAGAGAGTCGGAGATGCAAACACAGGGACGAACCACTTTTCAGCAATGCCACTCCTCCATCTCCATTGCTGGCAAAACCCATCTATATTTGGAACTCTATCGTCGACCAAACCCATCGACCTAGTTCTGGACAAGAAGAAGGCACGATTTTTGGGATCTCGTTCGATTTTCACGAATGATCTTAGACCATTTTCACGAACATTTTTGGGATCTCGACGAGAAGAAGGCTATGGTTTAGGGTACGATCTCAGGACGGGTTTGAAAACCCAACGAACTCAGCAATGAAGCAAAAAATGCATACACACGAAGCAGATTTGGCGATCGCACACATAGATCTGGAGGTAGGGATGGTTACGAGCCATAAGCATATCTCTGATAAATATTTTAATCTGAATTCATAATTAACAGACATGAGATACAATGATTATTTTGTTTATTTATTTTTTTCTAAAAACTACTGAGTATAAACATGTACATATGTGATTAATATATTATATGAGGAAAAGTTAAAATTATATCATAACCATTCGATAAATAATCAAGGCTTTACAGAATTAAACACAATTTTTTTTATTAAAGATAATGTCTTCACTGAATGTAGTTGGACATTGCTTGTAAGAAAGAAATCAAGAGGGTCCAGTGACGGATATCTGTATATATAATTACTGATTTTAAACCTAATATTATTGAATATATGTGACTTTTATGGGAAGTTTTGTCACCATGTACATGATACCTCTAGGGAAGAAAATTAATATACAATCAATATCATAAACATGATGAATGTGTTAGATGGTAGGTCATTGTCCAAAGTGATTTTGTATACTTGGCCCACATAGTTGGTTCAACATTTACTGGTAAAAATGCTGAATTAAGTCAGTTTTAAAGATTTTGAACTGGAAGTCGTGTGAGCTGTTAAGTCGACAATTTACTTTAACTGTTCAAGTTAACTGATGATGCAGAAAGTCATTCAATTCAACAGTGTATGTGCGATACTGTTCTCTTTATTATGCATATTACAACGATGTGCATTAATGTCTCGAGTTAAAAAAAGTAGAATTCAAGATTGAAAATTTGTCAAGAGACTTTCACTGAACTCAAAAAATAAATATAAAAACAACTTCTTTATTTCAAAGAGGGAGACTTCATTCAAGAACATCGTTGCCCCTGGAAATAATAAGAAAACAAGTGCTAAGTTTCAGATCAGAGAATAAACCGAAACGTCTCTTGTTTCAAGCTGCAAGTATTAACAAAAACAACTGTACTTTTTTATGGGTAGGATTAATGTTTGTATGTATCTGTCGAACACCATATATGTGTGAGATATATTGAATTCGTTCGACTTGGTTTAATTATTTTCCAACTTTACTGTTATATTTAGTTATTTTTTAGGTACATGTTTAGATCAATTTCAATTGTTCAAACAAGTATATATCACTACAACAAGATCGTGTTTATATGACACTCCCAATTTCTAAGCGTCCTAATAGACCTCTTTATAAGACTTAGCTTATATGACCAAAAAAATAAAGTGTCATATCTAAAGACGTTGTAATAAGTTTATATGGCCTTTTTTGATGTCATAATAAATTTTTAGGACACTTTTAATATAAAGCGTCCCTTTAGCAACTTTTTTTTTTGTAAGGGTGTCCGGGCCAAAGCCCGACTAATCCCCGGCAAATTTGGAGGCTAAACATGGCCTCACTTAAATGTCGTCAACACTCCTCTCCCAGGGCTCGAACTCGGGTTCATGACTATGTCATGCCCAAGCCTTTAGCAACTTTATAGGACACTATTTGAAATTTGTCCTATAAAAACAAATGTCCTATAAAAAATTTATAAGACACTTTCTCAAAAGTGTCCTATAAAGTTGCTAATGTGACATTTTTTATTAAAAATGTTCTAAAAAACTTGTTAAGACGTCCAAAAGCGTCATATAAACTTATTACAACACCTTTAGATAGGACACTTTATATTTTGGTCCTATAAATTAAGTCCTATAAAGCGGTCTATTGGGACACTTAGAGATTGAAGGTGTCCTATAAACCCAATTTTGTTGTAGTGTATGCATAATGATTTTTGTTTTCAATTATGTGCGTGTGTTTTGTATGTCCAAAAATATAAAATCAAAACCATATATATCAAACACAAAAGAAACTGATATTATTTCTTGTTGTAATAATCAGGTTTATTAAACATTCAAACACCCTCTGAACTAAAGCATAACAAAACTCACTCCATAGAATCGAATGCCTTGTCCTAAATTTTCCATTTTGTCCTCGGGAAACCTAAATCTTCTGAGACATGATTCCTATTTACGTTTCTCATCGTGTAAACTTGTATATCTGTATACGAAAAGAAAAGGCTATACTACACACCGTCACTCCAGAAGTTATACGAGTACAGTTATTCATCAGGTATTAATTTGAACTATGTAAACCCCATCTCTCAAGGTAACTGTACAAGGCACGTGAACCCTTTCTCCTGTAGTCGGTAAAAATGAATTATACAGATATACAATAAGAATCAGATATTTCAAGAAAACATTTGATAAACATTAGAGAAAACAACCCTACACCCCAAAAGGAAATGCCAAAGTTCCAAGCATAGACCTTTGCTTGTCCTTTTGTACCCGTTTTCTTGCAACCACATTATTTGTCATGTCTATTTCATTTCGAAAGAGTGCGGGGGGCCAAAACAGAAGAAAGCGGTTTTGCCATCGAGTTTGGGGTGAGGGGGACCATTAAGATAAAAGCAGTTATTATTCCCATATCGACATTTAATTTTATTTCATTATTAGATATTTGTAACAACAGTGTTTGATGACTACCAACATCATCATCTTAGGTGAACGATAATGACATGCATGCACGTTTATAACTGGTCCAATAAAAGGTTCATGTCTAAGTTTTAAGCTTAATTATCGTCAATGATGATATGTTGGTTTTCCCTCTTTTTTCTTAAAAAATCTGGCCTTTTCCAGTGTCAAATTACATTTTTACAGAACAACTTATTTTATAGAAGTATTATACTATATATATATATATATATATATATATATATATATATATATATTATAACGAGACATGTTTTACAGACAACTTGTAACATAGTACATAGGTGGTTTCTATTCGTTTGTGTCTGTATGCATCTTTAAAACATAAAATAATTCAACTTTCAGTAGAATATGGTTTTCATAGTATCTCTTCGTCCTATAACATTACAGTGTTTAATTTATCAGATAATTTAAAAAACTGTTGTCTTATTCGTATCAAAATTTATGAATGTTTCTAAAAAAACGAAAACAAAAACAATAAAATACAACAAAATTTACTCATGAATTTAACACAGGGCGATTTAAGAGATGAAGCAGTGACCTATTGGACTTGTTACGAGGGTTGATACCCAACTTAACTTGAAGAATGGCGTATAAGTTTATCGTTCTGATTTTTCGTTTTGATATTGTCTGTTGTATGATGAATTTAGCATAGAACTGTTTTACTTCTTGATAATGTCTATTGTTTAGGGTATGGTAATGAGATGATGGTTAAAAAAAGAATGTTACTTTCGAATATCGTTTTCGAATATCGTCGAGAATATAGTAACAAGCGGATAGTAAAAGTTTCACGCTTCTTAAATATGATTCATGGGCCTTTACCCTATCGAGTTTCAATGTCACTTTCAAATACTGTCTAGAATACAGTAACAAGAGAATAGTAAAAAAATTTACCTTTCTCGAATGTTATTCATGGGTCTTTGCTCTATTCAATTTGAATGTTACTTTCGAATACTATATAAAATACAGTTACCAGGGGATAGTAAAAATTTCACCTTTCTCGAATATGATTCATAGGTTAATGTTACTTCTGGATAGGGGTGTAAATGATACGAGACAACTCGAGAGCTACTCAAGATCGACTCGGTCAACACTCGACTTGAATAGGCTCGGCTCGAGCTCGAGCTCGACTCGACATATTAATGAGGTGAGTCAAGCTACCCAATACTCGACTCGAAAAGCTCGTGAGATACTCGATTATTTTATATATAATTAGTTTTAAAATATAATCAGTTTTTATGATAAAATTTGTAAAATGTAAATGATAAAAATGTCTTATATTTTTAGATATTTAAACAAAAATTAAACATTTTTTAATTATAAAAATTAATGAATTATTTTTTATTAAAATCACAACTAAAAAAGGGCAAATTGCATGAAAAAGTAACGTACTTTAACTTGATTCCTATTTTGAGTAACGTACTTTCAAAACTTTCATTTTGGTACCTAAGATGTAAAGTTTTAAACATTGAAGTACCCGGGTAACCACTTGAAGACTAATTTTGGATTAAAAAAAAGACTAATTTTAGATTTAAAAAAATCCACGTCACTGACCACGTCAACAAATAATACCGAGTTGGATACCACATCACTCGCCACATCAACATGATAATCGGTTAATACTTCAACCAGTTACTCAGGTACTTAAATGTTTAAAACTTTACATCTTAGGTACCAAAATGGAAGTTTTAAAAGTACGTTACCCAAAATAGGAATCAAGTTAAAGTACGTTACTTTTTCATGCAATTTGCCCATAAAAAAGGTTAGTGAGATTGTCTATTTGATGATGAAGTTTGAAATTGATCCTTTAGTTTTATAAAAACTAAGATAACACCTTTAAGTTTTAAAATTTACAAGAAAAAGACACTAAAATATTATAAATTTCAATGGTGAGCTTGATTCGAGTTCGAGTTTAAGCTTGATTTGAGTTGTAGTTCGAGTTTGTTTCGAGCTCGATTCGAGTTCGAGTTCGAGTTCGAGCTTGAGAAATAGTTATCGAGTTCGAATCGAGCTTTGATTTTTACTACTCGTGAGTTTTCGAGTCGAGATCAAGCTTGGAAATTGGGTTTCGAGCTCGATTCACATCATTTACACCCCTACTTTTGGATACTGTATAGAATACAATAACGCAAAAAATAGTAAAAAATCCACCTTTCTCGAATGCGATTAATGGGTGTTTTACCCTATGACTTTATTAATAAATGTAGACCTTTTGTATCATAAATTACAATATTACATATACAAACCAAGTTCTAATGTCATGCTTTCATTTCGTTTTCTTTTTTTATTTTCAGGGCAGCTCTTACCACGTTTCCTCTTGTAATAATCCCAACCTTCACTTACGAAATCAAGGGTTATCGACTTATCGTAAAGAAACAAAGATGAAATCATCGAAAGGTCGTTCGTCCAAACAGTATCCATCCCATCCAGACTACTGGTAAATTCCACCCCACTGGACGTCTAAGAGCATCTTCAATAGTTATGCTGTATTTGCTCTTCATCTTTTCCAAATTTGGAGATTTCTCCATTTCCATTATATTTTTTATTCTCTATTTTAGGAGAGTTTAACATAGCTGTTGAAGCGAACTTTTCCCAGATTCAAAATTTTCTAAAAATAGCAGGGCGGTTGGAGAAGCTGTAATATAGCAGCTATGCTATTTTAGAAATTTTGGAGATTTGGAAAAAGTTTGCTCTAAGAGCTAATGATAAACTCTCATCTGAAATAGAGAAAAATATGAGAGAGAACGAATTTGAAAGAAGAGAAAAAATATAGCATGCCTGTTGCAGATGCTCTCTAAGGGTTTAAATCTCACAAAAGGTGAGAATGTGCATAGCATTTGTTGTTAAATATTATGTATGAGGTTCAAAAAAGAAGGCTAAATATCGTGAGGATGTAAGAAAGGAAGGTTAAGGAAAGGTTCAAGTGTGAATTATTGAACAAATCTATTTGAAAAAATACATATGTGAACCCATATGAATAATCTGTAACATCGGTTCATATATGCATCTTCGAATAGATTTTTTCGGATTTTTTTCAATGATTCACATATGAACTTTCTTTTAACCTTCCCTTCTCACGATATTTAGTCTTTTTATTTGAAGCGGCTCCTAAATATTATATAACTTGAAAAAAAAGATGAAATCAAAGCAGAGACGAGCGAAATCATATTACCAACTTCCCTTCGCCGTCTACAACGGGCAAGCGCCGATATTTGGTTTCAAGCAACAATCTGACATTTAAACTATTATCTTATAAGATAGTATTTGTGATGAAAGTGGGATGAAATTTGCAGCATTTTGTACCTCTTCCGTCCCAAAGAAGTGTCCACGATTCTATTTTATCCCAAAATAAGTATTCACTTTTAAAAGTAGGTGTGTACTTTTTAATTCTACCCTTTAAGGTAAAGATACTCACGCTATTAGTAAGAGTAAAATTGTCATTTCGTTAAATAAAAAATGTAGTAATTATATATTTCTAAAATTGTGTCTTTTTCATCGTGGACATATATTTTGGGACGGAAGAAGTAGATGAAATAATAACGAATAGAACAGTTCGGGGATTAAAAAATATAGAGGAAGGTCGAGCAAACCTAGCGGCATCCTCGAGATTGGTGTTTTCACGAACTACTAACGGGGCATAAGTCATCAAATCGCCAACCACTTTCCCGTCGGTTTTACTGAGTAGCCTCTGTACCTCATTGAATGTCTGCAACCATTACTTAGATTTTGAGAGACAGGAGACACTATAGCATACTGATAACAGAATCTACTTCAGCGTAATGCTGAACCTAAAATTGTTCTCTCAGGGTGTGTTTGGTATGCGGACGGGACTAAAACTGGACGGGAAAAGTGAGGTTGGTGGGTGAAAAAATTGGGAAAGAATTTAGGGTTTTAATTTAACACGGGTAGTTTAGTAATTTACCACTTTTTGGCTTCTGGCTACTCGGTTATGTAAATTGATAAACGAACCAACAGAATCACACCAAGTTCGGAACAGACATAAAAGGTAGATTGGCCTTAATCTCACTCTATTTTCTGCTGCAACCAAGTTAGCAGACATGTATGGTTGTTTCAATTAAGGGAATGTTGCCCCTGCTCTCAGTCTCCAAGTTCCCTCCCCCCCACAGGCCCCCACCCCCCCAAAAGAAGAGATGAAGGCCAAAGTTTGTGGAATGTGTCAAATACCAACTTTCAATTTGGTGTCATTTATAACAAAAGACAAAAATACCCCTGACTTAAATTTGTTTTGTAGTCACTGGTCAACACATAAAAATGTAAACTTTGGTTGGGAAAATATGCATAAAACTTTGCAAAAAGAAACCCTAGGGGGTGGATGAGGGCAGTGGTCTCAGGGGGGAGTTGGGCGGTAGTATGGTGGCTGTCAGTGGTGGTGCAATGTCTGCCGGTGGTGGGGATAAATATGACTCGCGTTGTAAAAGTCATATTCCATATTTTTCAATATTCAAAATTAATTTTCAAATGAGTCTCAAAACTTTGCAAAATCCCCTGCATTTTGCATCCTCTATCATTAAAGAAGACGGTAAAATGGTCATTTTACCCGAGATTTAGTATAAATGACACCAAACTGAAAATTGGTTGGCCTTCTTTCACATTTTAATTCCTTTGTCGTTATTGACAAACTTCAGTGACTTATTTGAATATTATCCCAAAAAATGGCAGAGAGATTATGCTGATAGGGCTCAAGATCACTTAGAAAGTCAGAAAGGTACCAACTGTACAAGTTCCTAGATAGAATGCCTTTCAATTATCAATAGATAAGAAAATAACAAAACTAACTGACAGAAGCAGATATGCAAGTGAAATGATGCTCACAAAGTATTTTTAGCATAGATGATTCATACATACTTTCCAAGTGCTATCGACCTCAGGGAACATGTCAGTTTCAGCTCGTAAAGTGCCTAAAGAAAATATCAGAATGGATTAGCGTGTCAGAAACTCAGAATTACAGATCATATTGGAACAAACTAGCAAAAGAAACAGGAACTGATGGAGTTGAGAATATAGAAATGAGATGATTATATTTGCAAGGATTTCAAGGATCCACTAACTTCTGAACAAAGACTTATGATGAGAAAGGAAGTGCAGCCGTTTTTCAATGGACGCAATATTTGCTAATGTTTAGACAACGTTAAGTATGAATGGAGTACCAATTTCACAAAAATAATGCAATTTTTAACAGATATCACATGGCACATGTGATGCACGCATGGATCCTAAGTTTTCATTAGGATTGCCTCGATATTATGAGTATGTGCCGGAGGTTGAATAACTTCCTACGTTCATTTCTGGCTACATTAGAAGTTTACAAAATGCCTAGCTGGTTACCTGCTACAAATGCATGTTGTCTTTAGTTTTCCATCTCAACGTCATTAATCCAAACTATAGGGAAGGTTTCAAATTATCGATGTTCAGTTGACTTGCTAAGATGGTCAAATCCCACAAGCTCTATGGATCTCAGCAACATTATCTACTATAGTAGTCGGTTGACTTCTCCTTTCTACTTGCTATATCTCCATTTTCTGACCCCATCTCTACTTATCTTCTCATCTTCATAGTTCTTTCCACCAGCCAACCAAAACGCCTCCAGTTCTAGTAACATCTTTTCTCATATGTCCAAATCCAGAGTGGGAGTAGCACCTATCCATGTAAATACTTAAGAGGGAAGACTGAGGGGGTTTGGGCACGTTTGTAGGAGAGAGATGTCCGAATTGGCCAGGAGGGACTTCATTTTGTCAAAAGATGGATACGGAGATGTTAGCCAAGTATAATGTCACCCATAGACCAATGGCCAGGCGAAGCTAGCAAACAGAGAAATTAAGAAGATTCATGAGAAGGTAGTGACCCCCAGCAAGAAAGATTGGTTCAAGAGATTGGATGATGCCTTATGAGCAATCAGAACAGCTTTGAAAACACCTTTTGGGAATGTCTCCATATCGTCTTATCTTTGGAAAATCCTGTCACCTTCCAATGGAAGTTGAACACAAAGCATACCGGCTATCAAGGAGCTCCATTTCAACCAGAAGACAGCCGGTGAGCCAAGAAGATTGCAGCTAAATCAATTGGATAAATTTAGACTTTAGGCCTATGAGAATGCAAAGCGCTATAAAGAGAAAGTAAAGAAATGGCATGATAAGAGTATCCAGCTCAAAAACTTAAAACCAGGGCGGAAATGCTGCTTTTCAGCCCCAGATTAAAACTATTCCTTGGGAAGCTGAGATCCAGGTGGGGAGGATCATTACACTGATTGAAATATACCCAATTACCACATGGCTTGTCCTCCAAAAAAATGAAAGAACCGGATCCAAATTTAAGGTAAATGACCAGAGAGTGAAGAGATTCTTTTGAGAAGAAAGCTTGTCAAGAAGCATGCTCCACATCCTTAAGAAAATATTTGAGCAAGGTGTTCGGTTTTAAGAATAAAAAGTTTACTCTGCACTTTGTTTATCCTTTCAGATAACAATGTTTTAGTAGATATGTTTCTAACTGCAGAAGTCTCAGATCCAGTTGATCGACATCAGAATGACATAACCTCAACACTCTGTCTACTGATCTTAACCCCTGAAAGTCCTACTGGTACAAAAGTTTGTGTGTTTCCATTAGTGGATAAAGGGTGTTTAGTCTAACTTATGGGAATTGATGTGGTGATAGTTGGGTGTGCACAGGCATAAGGTGAATGGTATAGGGATGTTTCACCTAATGTATGACATATGGATATGATGTTCCCGTGTTCTTTGGTTTCCTTTTCCGTGTTTGTTCTGTTCCCCCTTTCTTGGTCTTCTCTCTCCTCTCTTTCCTTTCTCTTCACCATCACTCGAGCGAGTAATGTCTCAAGTTTGGGGGTGTAATGACACCTTGATCTTTGAGTTTCTTTCATTTTTCTACCCTTTTTTCGTTTTGTAGTTCGTGTCACATGAGTTGGGTTTAGGAACTAAAATTATGTTTTTGTTTTTTCTTTTGTGCTATTTTGGTATTGCTATTGGTGAGTGAGGCTGCAGGCCATGTATTGTCGTATCCCTGGACAAATCCATGAAAATACTCCATGAGACCCAAAAACCCCTTGTAGTTCTCGCAACGTCTTTGGCACGGGCCACAACACCATGGGTGCAATTTTTGATGGACCTACCCATACTCCACTTGGTACCCCCTGTCCCAAATATTCTAGCCTTTCCTGGCCAAATAGACATTTTTTTCTGATTAACGTATGAATTCCACCTCTGCAATTCTGCCAGAACTAGCTGTAGGTGGTCACTTGTTCCTTTCATAGATTGGCTATAGACTAAAATACCATTGAAGAAAACTAACACAAACTTCTGTTGGTAGGGATGAATTAACTTATTCATGAGGGATTGGAACGTGGTCAGTGCATTTGTCAAACCGAATGGCATTACTAAGAACTCGTTATGCCTCTCGTGTGTTTGGGAGCATCCTCTTGCTTTATGTGGATCTGCTGGTAGCAAGACTGCAAATCAATTTTAGAGAATGTTGTTGGTCTATGGAACTTGTCTATAAGCCTATCTATCACCAGGATCTGAAATTTCTCCACATTTGTTCAAGGCTAGGTAGTCTATGCAGAATCTCCAACTAATGAATTTTCTACTACTCGCTGGGTTTGCTCAAGTGCTGAGATTTGCTCATGCTAACCTACAGAACTGAGTTGAAATCCTACATTTGAGCACTGTCTGATGAGTGATGAATTAAGGGGATCATCAATAAGTGGACGATAAAAGTTCCACCCTTCGAATGTTGTTTCCCATGACTTCCGCAGGGAAAAAAAGGTTTTCGTTTTACGTCCACAAAATCTGAAGACTAAGGCATTAAAGTGCATTCACTTGGTTAATTATTCAATAAAAGGGGGAGCAAAAGATCCTAAACTTGCAATGATGTAAAGAGTTTTATACTGAAAAGGTTCAAGTAGGAAAAATGGAATTGAAAAGTGATATCCAAACAAGGTGGTGTTGGGGAAAAAAATATATTAACTAATGTCAAAAAATGCAAGTGCTATTAGATTTCAACATGTCAAATAGATGATAAAGTAGCTGCTTCAAATAAGGTCTTACCTGATATAGAATCCAGTGCTAGCAAGTCATAATCTGATACCACCCCAACCTGAAGCAACAATGAACCTCTGAATACTTCGTAAGCATAGACAAACTTTCCATGCAGACATCAGAAACATATATGGTCTAAATATTAAAAAGACTCGGCTTATGATGCTAGCATACAAGTCATAAAAGCACAGATTGTAAGATCCCTATAAGAGATTTCTCTATAATTCCACATGACAGCACTATTTCCTTCTCTTATGACTCCACAATAGAGAAGATGGTGTTTGGTTCGCAGATTCTGAAGGAATCTGATGGAATTGGAATGTTAAATTTCTTTGATAAAATACATTCCTCGTTTGGTTCGTTCTTTTTTAAAAAAGGGATCTTCATAATCCACCAAATTCCACAAATAAGGGGTTTCAACATTCCTTCACAATAAGTTGGGATTTTGATGGAATGAAATGTTATATTTTCATAATCCCAAATATACCATTTTAACCCAAATATAACTTAATTAGTTATATTTGTTCCATGATTACAGCCGAGAGACAGGCACATGATAAAATGATGAAATAGGATCTAAATTCTTGTGCCTTCCCTTTGAGAACCAACTACCATTTAAGACCCATCAAACACAATAAAGAGCAACCACTTGCACAACTGTTTCAGCTTCATCCTGCAAGCCATTTCACCCTAAAACCATCGAGATGAAATACCACCATATTATCTAATTTTACTTATTGTGTTTTTACGTAAATATGATATATGGTATACAACTTAATTGTTAGAAGATAACATGCATTAAAATTATGGCAGGAGAAAGAAAACCATACCAGTTTCCAGTCATCATCAATTACAGGAAAGCCAGTTATTCTGTTCTCCACAAGAGCTTTCAATGCTGTTGGAAGAAGGTTAATTAGATAAACAAGAATATCGAAGTGATCTATGATATTTGTTTTAACCAACACTCTAATACCTTCATCTACAGTTGTCGTGGGCTTTACCACATGCAAATCCTCTTTCTTGGTCATAAAATCACCCACAATCAATACTCCACTTTTCTGCTGGAATTGTCAGAGTGGACCTTTTAGAGGTGAAATAAATGAACACAAATGGAGCTTCGTTGACAAAGACGCACATGCGCATAAAGACTGCAATGAGTTTTCCGGTTACATTTGTTCTCATTCTTCAATAATCAAGACTTGTTTAAGCTACCGCAAGTGGTTGGAACTTGCTCAAAATAACCTAAAGATCCTAACTTCGAATTCCACACTTGTTAGTTACAGAATGAACTATCAATGATTCATAAATGAGCAGATCTTGAACTATTTCAAACCAACCCGCCCCCCACCCCTTCTTCGATTTTACTCAGCTTCAGGTGAGGTTTCACATGTCTTAAGAAACAAACAATCAACAAACCTAATATTTATGGACTGCAAGAAACCATGAAAACAAGAGAATACTCTGTGAAAATTACTACAAATGAACATTGCAAGTTTCATCTGAGCCCCAGTTCAATCAACGTGGTTCCTTAACACGTGTAACTGTGACCTTGCACCATGTAAATTAATTGAGGAACACATTTATTCCTAGACACTATCCATCTATGTCTGTTGCATGATTGGTTAACTTTGACTCCAAAGGTTAAAAGTGTCTGAGGGTCTCAGGTTCAAATCCAAGGAAGAATAAAAATCCCCATGTGACCATGGAGGTTCAGGGCTAGCTGCAAAGCAGGTGATCGACCTAGGATTAGTCGGCTCGACTCGCATAACGGTTTAGATATCCATGTTAATAAAAAAACATATTTAAAGTTTTTCACTAATTTTAACTTGCATTTGATTTTACAACACTACAGGCATTGTAAAAATTACAATAAACGTACTAAAATTTCAAAATCACGCCCAACGCCTAAGTCTTTTTACTGTATATGGCAAAAACCTTCTAATACAGAAGCAGTCAACTAAAGATTGAATGTAATTAATGCATTACACGAAGGCGAGCTCACACACATATCAACTTAATATTGACAGTAAATTTTCCAACATATCTATATCGGAAGCAGATTAAACCTAACGAACACGTAGACTCATTGAAAATATAGGGACTGTGCTGCAAACAAATATCCGAATTCCGAAACATAATTTTCATAACATAGACTGAGAAGAGTTGTACCGGCACAGAACTAGACATCAATGTGGCAGCTGCAGCGACGGTGAGAGCTGGTCTACGAGACCCCGAAAGGCGGCACGAAGAAGAAAGTCTAGAGGCGAGCACTGGATGAGATGAGATTAGACTAGGCATCTGATGGTGGAAGAAAGCGGTGGCCGGTAGGGAGGCGGCGGTAGTACGGAGTAGAGAAACAGAGACGTGATCGAAGACCGGAGGAGTTGACGCCATCTACGGTGGTGCCGGTGTTTTATGAGATAACAAACGCCGATCCCCGGCGGTGATCTGGCGGAAGCAGAACGAGAAAGAGGAATTTGTGGACCTTTTTTCTGGTTTGCGCCTTCCCGTATCTGCTATCAGCACGTTTGGCCTAAAAGTTATCGGTATTTTTTTCAGAAAGAAAACAGAAAGAGTAAATTACGTTTTTAGTCCCTCCAGTTTGTTAAAAATTGAAATTTTCATCCCTGTAGTGTGAAAATTACGGGCTTCTTCCCTAAAGTTTGTGAGTCGGATAAAATCACTCTTATTACTTTACATCAGATAAAATTATTTAAATATATTCCGATTGATTTGTGTCATTTACAATCATTATATGATATAAAATAAAATTAACCAACATTTAAGGGCATTCTGGTCATTTTAACAGCTTACCAAACGCAAGACATACAATTAACTCAGTCATGTTCTAGTGGTATCAAACGTAGGACATACAATTTAGTACTGTCATGTTCAGTCTTGTCTCCTCATATTTTGTCTCATTCATTATGCATACTAAACGCTACCTTAATGAGAGGTTAGCTTAATTGGTTAAGTTATATTAACATGTTTAATTTTAACTTAATACTAAGATATTGACTTAACATGTTAAGTTGCTCTGTCATATCTTAATGCATTAAGTGAGAATTTTTTCCAAAATTACCATTATCCTACAAATTTTAGTTAATCACATGTTGCATCAAAAAATAAATAAAATTAATAGTTTACCGACATGCATAAATTAATAATCGTAATTAAACAATAATACGTATTATTGCGTTATTAACTTATTGAATACATATTATTTATGTTATTTTAAATAATTTATATATTTTAGTTTTTTTTTTGTCATTTTAATTATTTATCAAACAATTTATTTCCATCCAACACTTATATAGATACAAGGTGAAAATGGTAATTTTTGTTGTTTAGATTATTTATTAAGAAATCAAACAACAATTTATCTTAATTTTATTAAGACATATTAATATTTAAAGACAACTTAATAGATTCAGATAAAACTAACTCAATTATAATCACTTTGTCTTAGAGGCCGTTTACCAAATGCTTACCTGGGTAAGCGCTTACCTAGTCACATTACCTTACCTGATGACTATGGCAAAGACCAAGAATTTTACCCGGTAAGAGCGAAAACAATGACCGATGCATCACGCTTGATACGGGGATTGATCTGGTGCATCTTATATTGGTGCGTCTTATTCTAATGTACATCCAAGGGTGGAGATCTCTTCTTACGTTTTTCACCTTCTCATGCTCATCGAAACTCAACCTTTTGTCTAAGTAAATATAAATTGCTTAGTCTCGCAGTGTTTTTTCCTAACCCCACACTCCTGAATTTCTTATAAGAATGGATGAGGTAGTTTGGAGCAAAACGCAGCGCCAGATCAGTGAATTCTTTAAGGTAACAAGTTTTTATGTTCTGCATTTTTTTTTCTTGAACATGCATATACACAATAAACTCTGTATGTATGTTCGATTCTGACTGGAAATCTATGATATATGTTACAGACCATTAGTTTTGAGCTGTTGAAGGGAAGAAGTTGGATAATTTTGGATGAATGTTTCAAAAAAGGTCGTCATGAAAAGGCAGTAGTGTCCTATCTTTTTTTTTTCAGTAATCATGGGTTTCCGGACTAACTTACTCGTACTGACTAATCCTCTTGGCAACCACAAATAGTCTGTAGTCATCGCAAGTGAACCTCCATAACCACGAGCATATTTTATCTTAATTTCAGATTAATTAGGCTTTCGAAGTTATGTTCTGAAATTTTTAGAAAATGGGAATTCATATTATTTGAGTGTTTCTATACATAGCATATGTCACAACATATTTACTTTCGCACACATCCGATGTTATTTTTCTCACAAAAGGGCACATGATGTTTGTTGACAAAGTATGTTAATTATAAAAGCAGTTACATATTTATGTGTTTTTTTTTATCTGGATAGAGAGCACGAGATGCGACCGACAATGCATATGCTCATTGCTTTTGCATCATGTCTCGTACTCGCTTACATTTATATCGAAAACAAATCCTCTACAAGATTCCTTCACAACTTTAGAAAGCGATGATAATAACGTGTACCAAACAATTTATTTTTTCTTTACATAAATAATAAAGAAGAAACTTGTCGCTAAACAAATCTCTTTTAGATACATCGGTGCATTGAAAATGCAAAAATGAAATTTGATATTGATATATATATATATATATATATATATATATATATATATATATATAGAGAGAGAGAGAGAGAGAAGTTCAATTGCATACCGATTTTCGATTGTGAATCAGGGGACAAAGGAGAGTGCGGCATGTGTTCCCAACGTCCACATTCAGTATGAATAACAAAAGACATTCAATATGAATAACGAAGGTGGAACATTCATGATGAATGATACAACATTCATAATGAATAATACGCGATCATGATCTATGTTAATTTGATTCACTATTCGAGATGAATAATACACAATCATCATAAGTGATACATTATTCATGATGAATAACCTCTGAATGTGTGAGACACGTGTCACGTTTTCCTTTGTCTCTTGGTGTTTTCATTTGAACCCACTCCTATATAGAGAAAAGTTATATATATATACACACACACACACACACACATGCATATAATGAATTGTAAGAAGAGGATGTAGTACTTCTAAATAAACTTTTTTTACATGGTATTTGAACTTCGTTATCACCAAGGTTCTAAAAAACATGTTATGACGCTCTAAAATTGAGGCATTGCCACCATATTAAAGCCCGTGGCACGACTTTGATGTGTGGCTTGCAGTATGGCGCATTATGGCAGGTTATAGTTAATGCGTGTTATTTTTCCCCCCTTTTCTATATATAATTTATGTTTTATTAAATTAAATATTAATGATTCTAATTATTCACCAGTATCAGGAATTCATCAACCGCAAGTGGAAAGTGAACAAGACTTTGAATTCAGTTCCGATATCAAAATACTTTTCGACATAAATGATGAAGATTACATGGAATGGTAGTTTATTTATATGATACATATAATCAAATCCAATCTAGCATATGTTTTTATATATGATATTAGAATATTAGATTACAAATATATGGATTTTGCAACATTAATAAAACATTATTTTTGTCACGATCTCTTGATATCATTTTTGTAACCTTTGTATATTTAATTATCAAATTATTAATGCATACTTCTTCTTTTATTTATAGTTTTATATGAACTTAATTCATTTATCATTATTGTTCAACACACAAACATATAGATATGTATATACACACACACTATATATATATACACACACACACACACACATACAGATTTTTCGCTTTAATCCATGCCTGAAAAATGGCAAGGCTTTAATCCATGCCTGAAAAATGGCAAGGCTTCATTGTAACTCATAATATTAAAGGTTTGATCTTACTGTCATACCACGTCTCACACCATTTAGAACCTTGATTATTAATAAATTTCTTTCATACATTGACATTACATCATTACATACACACATGTGTGTGTATATATATATATACATATATGACATGTATTGATTTGAGTTTAAAAAAGTAAATAGTAATAGTTATGAATTAAAGGTATAGAAGTATTTAGCAAAGAGAAAAATGGAAGGCAATGATGGGTGGGTGGGAGTGACAGCAAGACAATAAAGTGTCGTGAAAACCAGAAACCGACCAAAAACTGAAAGAATTTTTGATTAGCAAAAGTGGACCACTTTCCCATTGCTTTTTTCACACCAAACTGACAACCCGTCTGTAGGCCCATTTCTGTCCTCCAGCCCAAAAACAAAATTATACACACACATATATGAAGAGAGAGAGAGAAGGGTTTAAACGAGAACATCTTTATTTTACGAGAACGTAAGAACACTCTTATCACATATGATAATACGTGTGAGGGGATCTGTTGGTATGCCGAAGACGTGTTCTACGACTTAGGTCGCGCCAAAGGTTGTCCGCGTCTATGATTTAGCATCACATGTGATGGTCTTGATGGATTACAGTATCATATTAACAAAACCCTTATCACATGTGACAATACACGTGAGGGGGCTTAGTGGTGTAAGGACGACTTGGCCCGCAACCAAGATCACGCCAGAAATCGCCCGCGTCTCTGATTTGGTATCACATGTGATTGTCTATAGTAAAATGTTGTTATCGCGTTCTCGTAAAATGAAGATGTTCTCGTTTGAACACACACACACACACACATATCTATACTATATTATAAAGCATTTGGCTAAAACTCTTAAACTCTTAAAACTCTTAAACTCTTAAAACT